TTTTTTCCACAACAGGCGGTTTGCTGTGCAGATGGGAAACATTGCTGTCCAGAGAATACAAAATGCGACACTGGTGCAGGCAAGTGTATCCGTGGTAACGGTTTGTCTATGGACTGGTTGGAGAAGACTGAAAGCCGACCCGTAGCTACATTGTCAGGTGTTGTTTGTCCTGATGGAAAGTCGGAGTGCCCATCCGGTAGCACATGCTGTTTGGTTGGAGAGAATAAATACGGATGCTGCCCTCAACCGAACGTAAGTCATTGAACAACCTCTCACAAGAAGTCCTATTCCTTTAATCAAAATATTGAAAACACAAACGTTTTGTGAGAGACTGGATATACACAACAGTATTGTTCCATGACGTTAGTTGTTTCGTATCATAAGAATTGTCAATGTAACAATTTTGAAAAAAAAATAGAAATTTGATGGCTATTTTCTTCCTTTCTTATCATCAGATGTGCTATTTTCAAATTCCTTTTTGTCCATGATCTGTTCTCCACTCATCATTAAGTCAGACTGTTTGTAAGCAATTTCATTACTTGGAAGATTACTTTACTGTCTGTCCTTCCGTATCTCTGACCATCATTTTTAATTTCTTTCTCAGATATTTTTGTTTTAATAAATGATTGAATCAGTTTCACTGTATGTTAATTGCTCAAGGGTAAAGGAGAAAACTAGTGATTGTTGATTATGGACTACGTTTGTCAAAAGTCTGTCATTTCAACTTACCTCTGAACAGATGATCGCACCAATTTCAAAGCTCTTTTGATAACAAGCATGGTCCACCTAAGAAAAGTGGTACTCACATTGTCACTAGTTGCTGTTTTGTTTTTAAAAGTCAAGAAATTGTTGTGTTTATGTAATGACCAAAGTAATCATATCTCCATCATTTTCACATAAATATTGCTTCACATTAATATCGTCAACATCCCGTAACATACAATAATAATTGAATGTTTCCCCTCCACTGGTATCATCAATGATTCGACAATAACGCCCCTGCACCTAAACATAGATGTGTACTTGAATGTTTTCCCTTACACCGTAACATTCTGATGTAGTCGAATGCCTCCGAGCAGCCCATGTGTTGATGTTAATTGTTTTAAGAGGAAAACATAATGGACTTTGAGCTCATGTTTTTTCCCACAACAGGCGGTTTGCTGTACAGATGGGAAACATTGCTGTCCAGAGAATACAAAATGCGACACTGGTGCAGGCAAGTGTATCCGTGGTACCGGTTTGTCTATGGACTGGTTGGAAAAAACTGAAAGCCGACCCGTTGCTTCATTGTCAGGTGTTGTTTTTCCTGATGGAAAGTCAGATGAAATTTGTCCTGGCGGGAAATCCACTTGTCCATTGGATAGCACGTGCTGTCTAACAGTAGATGGTGCATACGGATGCTGTCCTAGACGGAAGGTAAGTCAGTCAAGTAATCATTCACAATAAGTCAAAATATTTGAATATAAATATTGTATATGTGTACATCTTGTCAGATAATGGACAATTCCTATTAATTTGATTAGACACAAACAATAGCATTGTTCCTCGATGCTATTTTGTGTGTTACGTTCTATTAATAGTAATGGTCATTTAAGGACGTGCTAGGTTTTAGTGTTCGAGTAAAGCCGTAGTGCCTGGAGAATAAACACTCACCAACAGCCGATACATCGAGACTGCTCCACGGAGGCCTTGATCTCGCGTCCCAGTGGTAGAGGGCTTAATTGATCGAAAAAGATCAAATACCTTAATCACTGGGCCACCATGGCCGCTCCCTGATGTTAGTGTTGTCTGTTAAGTATTCATTGTTGTTAAACATGAGTACTAGATATAACATGTTTTATATCGAGTGCAATTTGCCAAAATGCCTCCTGTTATCAGATGGTAGGCTGTTGAAAACGCTTTTTCCGTCACCTGACCTGACATCCAATTTATCGTCCAGTCCATCTGTTAAAAAATTCTTCCCTTTGTCTCTGCGTCTGTTAACATTTTTGTTTAGATATTCACTTGATAACTGGTAAATGCACAAAACTCAATCTTGGTTTGTACTTTGCCCATGGAAAGAAGAAAAACGTGTTTAGTTTATATGGGTGTGATTGATCACAATTCAAGGTTTATGCTTATTTCAGACAAGGCAATCACTGCAAGCTCAGACATGGTCAGGGAGTTTTCCCTAAGTAAAAGAAAAAAGGTCATCTTGAGCATGGTCTGTGAAATGTCAAGGTCATCATTGTTACTTGCAACAAAGTACAACTTGCAACAATTTCACAAAACGAATAATTTTTTCGGGTGCTCACTTCAGAACAAATGATTGCATGGATCTCACGCTTTGGTTGATGGTTTTCCTAGAGTATATGTTTGATCTGGATATCGTGTTTACTCTAATTATTGAATGCTACCAAGTTGTCTACCTGCGGTCATTTTGTTGGATCTAGCTTTTTTATGTGAGTTACGACACGTTTACCATGTAATAACCAAATCCTGTCTGAACAACTCTTGTTATGGTTTTCATCCGAGTTTTGTGATATAACCACCTACAATTATACATCTGCCTTTATTTCTGATCCCATGTACTTGGTATAATTTAATGCGTTTGAAATTTGTTACCATTATGTCTTGGAAAAGTATAACAGAACCATGATGAAACTAGCATGCAGGATCTCCAAGGTCGATTTAGAAATGGATACAAAAATGGCCACATTAGGCAGCCGTCTTCGATTTTGCATGACAAGATTTTCACCGACATTCTTCCGAAGTACAGAATGGGTAAAAACGAATCATTGTATTCACGTTTCCTCCGTCAGAGTTGTGCCTTCTATAATTTCGCGTGATTTACCAGATGGACACCAGACCATTTTGGAGGAAGTTTCTTAATGTTATTTCTTGGGAAGCACTGAAAGAATCTCGTGAAATCTTCTAGTCACGATCAAAAGCAAAATAGCTACAAGGCAGATATCTTTTGCATAACAATTGTGTATAACGCTATATCTCAGGATCCACTTATTGCATCATGATAAAAATGTCGGGATTCAGAAATAACAGAAAAATAACTTGCAACCAAATTTTGTTAGTTGTAAGTAAATAGTTCCTCATGATGTTTTTTAGAAGGAAGTAAATGGATAATGCGAAATACCGATCCTGAGTTGTATTTGCTCCTACTTTAAAGATAGCTCGGAAAGCGAAATTATCGAGAGGCAACTTTCGTTGCTCTTTCCAATGACTACTGAAGAGATGACGAAGAAACATCGCATTCACGACCCTTTGGTTTTATGTTGTATCTGCTTCAAATTCGTTTGATCGGGTGACAATTTAAGCCTCGTTATGCGATTTCGGATTTTGTATGGATAGTACAAGTAAAGGATGTCATTACTATTCTTGAAAATAGTTAAGGAATCATGACTTGGTTGCCATGATCCTGCGTGGTCAATATTTGTGCATTTCTAATTTCAGATAGATGATGAAAGCAAAATAGCCGCTAGGCAGCCATCTTTGACTTGCATTTTGAATTTTTAATAAAAGCACACCATTATCAGATGATGGTGGGCTGATCAAATCGCTCTTCGTCCATGATCAGCCGTTATCTGTCCTTAAACATTTTTCGCTATTTCTCATAAAGTACTCAATGGACCTCTCTCAAAGTTCATGTGTATGTTTGTTCCCAGTGGCATGTTTCATTTTCATACTGAAAAACAAGATGGCCGACAGGATTTTGATAGTTTAAGTTTGTTTTTCGTTATTACTGGACAGATCTTTCTCATATTCCCTTTGGTCCCTTAATGTCCATGTTTAATTTTGAAACTGATCGGAAAAACAAGATGGCCGAAAGACAGTCATCTTGAATTTGAGGTTTGACGTTTGTTATCACTATTTTGGAAGAACTTAATAATGACAATGTCCCAACTTTGAAATGGACAATCTGAAATACAGGGTTATAGAACTTTTGATCATATATCAGATTTACTTGATTAGATATATTTATTGTTGACAAGACTATTGGTCCGACAGATAAGATTAAAGAAAAGAAATATTTGGAAAAGATCAAACTGACATGAAAGTAACTTCACCACACGATGGTTGACACCAACATCCCTTTCGTTTGCATTTTGATGAGGATAATCCTTTTTCATTTGTAACTTTGACGACATAATTAGTGCTGGCTGGATTGAAGAAGAACTATTTTGAAAGAAATTACCTAGACGTTAAGCATTGAAGTTGTTACTGTCGTCAGTTATTGCAGGAATATATTTTCCCCAGTAGTTTAAGAATAATGTATTCATGTGGATATTTGTTTATATATACAGGCGGTCTGCTGTGAGGACAGGAAACACTGCTGTCCCGAAAATACAAAATGCGACACTACTGAAGGAAAGTGTGTTTCCGGAAATAGTTTGTCCATGGACTGGTTGGAGACAAGTGAATCAGTTTTGATCGAAAATAAGTCTCCATCTGCTGCTGTCATTGTTGCTGCTAACAGCGATATTAAGACATCGCTCACGTCTATCGACTGTCCCGGGGGTGGTTCCTGTCCGGATAGTAACACGTGCTGTAAGGATTCAACGGGAAAGGAAGGCTGCTGTCCATATGCAAAGGTAAAATTGTTTACCGATTAACTTGAAACCTTGTTCATATTCTGTGATTGCTATAGATGGCACTTTGTCATCCCCGTTTCTGTACCCGCTTACCAAGATTTCATTGTAACATAACGTAACCGACATCTGAGCTATCGGACAAGGTTTGTGGCCCCAAACTACTGGTAGTACACTGCATGAGCTTACCTGGTCTGAGCGACCAAGGTGATCTTATGGCGTTCCTTAGCGTCCATTGTGCGTCCGGCCGTCAGTCCGGCCGGCAACGATTTCTTCAAATGACTTTTTTGATTGAAATTTAACCAAATTTAATTCGGATGGGGATTTAAAGTTGTGCAAATGGAGGGACGTGCCCTGAGGTGGTAGTGGCGAATTACGCCCTGAGTCATAACTGTGAAACGGTTGAGATCCCGACCACATACTAATAAATACAAATGCTTTGCATACAGAACAAAATCAATCCTGATATTTGAAATGCCGCTAGGGTTTGGCCGAATCCTAAGAGACTTCGTTCCTGGCTCACAACTTAGAAACAGTTAATATCTCCACCTTATAATCATACACTTCATTGCTGAGTAAAAAGTGATAATTACACATATATGCCACCGGGATGGCGCCTGAGTTTTGCATCAACCATGAAGGCCCTGGTTTATAATTTGATTCAAATCCCCACCCCATATTGCATAAACTTGTATATGATTGCTTGGCATAAAGTTGCTTGGCATAAAGAGATGCACACAGTGATGATGTAAAGCCCCTATCTCACATACACGGTTAAAAAAAATCCTAACACGATTTAAGAAAAGTTGAAAAATCCTCTTGATTCGTGCTCAACCTTATGGTTTATGCAAATTTCTCAACCAAACTTTGGTAAAGCGGAACCAATTTTGTATAAACCGTGGGTCTGGCCCCCGAGGGGCCTGAGCGGCAGGGCCCAATAGGGGAAACAAAGCATTTGTTTTTAAATCCTTCTTATTCTATATTGCTACAAACGACTTCTTCTCTGGAACTAAGAGATGGATATCAACCATATTTAACTGGTAGCTTCCCTCGATAGTGGAGATTCAAAATTGTACAAATGGTTGGGCTGACCCACCAGGGGGCTGAGGGCTGGGGCCAAAAGTGGGCAATATGGCTTTATTGCTAAAAACGACTTCTTCTTTCTTTGGAACTAAGAGATGGATATCAACCATATTTGACTGGAAGCATCCCTCGAAAGTGGAGATTCAAAATTGCACAAATGGTTGGGCTGACCCCCCAGGGGGCTGAGGGACGGGGCCAAAAGTGGGCAATATGGCTTTATTGCTTCAAATGACTTCTTTTGTAGAACTATGCACTGGATATCAACCATATTTGACTGGAAGCATCCCTAGGTATAAAGAGACAAAAGCAGTCATGGTATTAGAACAGACCCTGGGGTCTGACCGACCCTAGGGACCTAGTTTCTTAGTCACAGCTTGGAAACAGTTGAGATCCCCACCCTATAACCATGCATATATACAATTGCTGAGTATAAAGAGATGAATGCACATATGCTTACAGGATGGCCTTGAGGCCTGCCCCACTCTTGGAGACTTAACCCCTGGGTCATAACTTTGAAACAGTTCAGTTCCCCACCCCAAAACTGTATATACAATTGTTGGGCATAAAGAGACCAATGCAGTCATGATACACTGTATTAGAATAGATCCTGGGGTCTGGCCACAACCCCAGGGACCTAGTTTCTGATTCACAGCTTGGAAACAGTTGAGATCCCCACCCTATAACCATTGGGGTCTGGCCTATTTAATACAGATTGCTACAAGGATTGGCCTTGGGGTCTGGCCTATTACAAGGATTGGCCTTAGGGTCTGGCCTACTACAAGGATTTGCCGTGGGGTCTGGCTTACTACAAGGATTGGCCTTGGGTCCGGCTTACTACGAGGCTTTGCCTTGGGGTCTGGCCTACTACAAGGATTGGCCTTTGGGTCTGGCCTATTACAAGGATTGGCCTTGGGGTCTGGCCTCCTACAAGGATTGGCCTTGGGGTCTGGCTTACTCCAGGGATTGGCCTTGGGTCCGGCTTACTACAAGGATTGGCCTTTGGGTCTGGCCTACTACAAGGATTTGCCTTGGGGTCTGGCTTACTACAAGGATTGGCCTTGGGTCCGGCTTACTACAAGGATTGGCCTTGGGGTCTGGCCTACTACAAGGATTTGCCTTAGGGTCTGGCCTACTACAAGGATTTGCCTTGGGGTCTGGCCTACTACAAGGATTTGCCTTGGGGTCTGGCCTACTACAAGGATTTGCCTTAGGGTCTGGCCTACTACAAGGATTTGCCTTGGGGTCTGGCTTACTACAAGGATGGGCCTTGGGTCCGGCTTACTACAAGGATTGGCCTTTGGGTCTGGCCTACTCCAAGGATTGGCCTTGGGGTCTGGCTTACTACAAGGATTGCCTTGGGGTCTGGCTTACTACAAGGATTGGCCTTGGGTCCGGCTTACTACAAGGATTAGCCTTGGGGTCTGGCCTACTACAAGGATTGGCCTTTGGGTCTGGCCTACTCCAAGGATTGGCCTTGGGGTCTGGCTTACTACAAGGATTGCCTTGGGGTCTGGCTTACTACAAGGATTGGCCTTGTGGTCTGGCTTACTACAAGGATTGGCCTCGGGGTCTGGCCTACTACAAGGATTGGCCTTGGGGGCTGGCTTACTACAAGGATTGCCTTGGGGTCTGGCTTACTACAAGGATTGGCCTTGTGGTCTGGCTTACTACAAGGATTGGCCTCGGGGTCTGGCCTACTACAAGGATTGGCCTTGGGGGCTGGCTTACTACAAGGATTGCCTTGGGGTCTGGCCTACTACAAGGATTGGCCTTTGGGCCTGGCCTACTACAAGGATTGGCCTTTGGGCCTGGCCTACTACAAGGATTGGCCTTTGGGTCTGGCTTACTACAAGGATTGGCCTTGGGGTCTGGCCTACTACAAGGATTTGCCTTGGGGTCTGGCCTACTACAAGGATTTGCCTTAGGGTCTGGCCTACTACAAGGATTTGCCTTGGGGTCTGGCTTACTACAAGGATGGGCCTTGGGTCCGGCTTACTACAAGGATTGGCCTTTGGGTCTGGCCTACTACAAGGATTGGCTTTGGGGTCTGGCTTACTACAAGGATTGCCTTGGGGTCTGGCCTACTACAAGGATTGGCCTTTGGGTCTGGCTTACTACAAGGATTGGCCTTGGGGTCTGGCATACTACAAGGATTGGCCTTGGGGTCTGGCCTACTACAAGGATTTGCCTTAGGGTCTGGCCTACTACAAGGATTTGCCTTGGGGTCTGGCCTACTACAAGGATTTGCCTTTGGGTCTGGCCTACTACAAGGATTGGCCTTGGGGTCTGGCTTACTACAAGGATTGCCTTGGGGTCTGGCTTACTACAAGGATTGGCCTTGGGTCTTTCATATTCCCTTGGATCTCATTTGGAGAATAGTTTGCCATATAATTGCCTCGTTGTCTAGGTGAGCGCTGCAGGCCCTCTGGACCTCTTGTTCTTTTTCCGATTGGACATCAAACCACGACGGCCTCTGATTGGTCGAAAGTGTTTGATTTTGTTCAAGTTTGGTTTGCATGTTCATTTGTCAACAGTCCCATTCCAATGTGACCTTGTTCTTGATCTAGGCATGTGCTTCTTGTACAATCAGATACCATTTTGACAATCTAACTAGGACTTCATTGCTAAATTGCAGATTAAGTGTTTTAATAATAAAAGCAAAAACAAAAACAAACAAAAACAATCAATAATATTATGTGACCGTATGGAGTTCCATGCCATTTGACATTTTAGTGAAAGGTCACCTTGTATTGGCTCTTGAGCGGTCCCATCATTTATTGACATGTGGTTTTCTTACCTTGCTAAAATGAGATGTAAATCCACAATCAATCAAGCAAAGCATGGGTATTTTAGCTCAAGCGACTATTAGCATCATGCTATGTTAGAATTACCTCCCTTTGTCAACTCAGCAGTTTTTGTCTCGCCGCGACGTAACGGAAGTGAGACTAAGGTGTTGTTTTTTCCGGCGACGGTGGCGGCGTCATCGTCAACATTAAGTTTTTGCGTTTATGTTGGTTTCACTGAAAATAAAAGTGCTAGACCAATCACACTTGGACCATGCATGCATCTTAGGTAGTTTATCTCAACCCATGCACTTTAGGTAGTTTATCTCAATCCATGCATCTTAGGTAGTTTATCTCAACCCATGCATCTTAGGTAGTTTATCTAAACCCATGCATCTTAGGTAGTTTATCTCAACCCATGCAACTTAGGAAGTTTATCTCAACCCATGCAACTTAGGAAGTTTATCTCAACCCATGCATCTTTGGTAGTTTATCTCAACCCATGCAACTTAGGTAGTTTACCTAAACCCATGCAACTTAGGTAGTTTATCTCAACCCATGCAACTTAGGTAGTTTATCTCAACCCATGCATCAAATGCTGGATGTCTACATTGAATTTATTTCACCGATAAGTGCATTGATGGTCAAAGCGGGGCTCAGGCGGAACATATCAATCCGAATGGCTTGTGTTGTTATTTAAGGTACACTGGGATACATGTATTTACAACGCACGTTAATATCATATTAAAAAAACCTGACGGTTTATTGATAAGAAGATAAATTCTGACACACATCTGATGTCTGTCCAGTTATTCCATTGTTTTTACATCTTTTTCAATACTAATTTGTATGTGATTTACATTACAGGCCGTTTGTTGTCCCAACGGGAAATACTGCTGTCCCCATGACTACATATGTGACACACTACCAATGATCTGCCGGATGCCAGATGGAATAAAACGGGCAGATTTCAACACAAATCTGTTCTTGCAGCATATAGCCAGCAAACAGAGGGAACGTGGTGGCAAGAACTAATTTAGATTTACTTAAAACTAATTTAGATTTACTTCACGTTAAATGGTTAATGTCAATCGGTTTCAATGTCATGAGATGTTTATTTTTCAGTTCATTCATGAAAATCTTAATTTAAGAATATATCAAGTGTTTGTTGAGGCAAAAAAAGGAAGAAGGGAACGCTAAGAGGTTGTCATTAATGAATTCAAAAAGCAACCGCAAAAATAATTATTTGGTGAAATATGGGTAATATATATACTATCTAGGAAATCAGACATAATTGCGTGTATATATGATAAGATATATACATCGTTTACTTACATACTATTGCCAGAGAAAAAACTTTATTTTTATCACTGCTTTATTGGTTTTTTTGTGTTTGTTGTTTTTCAAACTAGAGCACGGTTTTGCTATTAAGCCCTATGAAATTAACACTGGAACAAGCATGTCTTGATTATTTACTAAATTTGTTAACTTTGAATTCGCTTAATAATAAAAATATTGTTATTAACATTTGTTATCCGATCATATCTTGAATATCGAGTAGGTATATATAGTTGGTATCGCAGTGACTCATTAGAACAGGGTAATTGACGGGATCAAAGCATTTTGCTCCCTCTGGATAATCCCTAATGCTGAGTATATATCTGGGTTAGAATAACCCATATGTGTGCCGTGTGATAATGATAGCACTGTTCATGTATTGCTTCGTGTTTTACGAGGCCATTTACTTAATAATCGTTGTTTCATGTTAATTTCCTGAAATGTTTAAACCATATCAACCAACTTTTTTTTCTTAACACTGATTATACTTGTGATTTTTGTTGGGGATTATATCCCCTTAAATATTTAATCGTAATTAGTTAGTAAATCAGAGTGCTATTTAACCATTTAACATATGTGTATGATTTATCATCAAAACATTTCTGCTTTCCTAGTGTGACCCCAACCCCTGCCCCTAAATATACATAAAAAATGATAATTCAATTATCTGTGAACGGGATGTTAAAGAAATATATTTGTACATGTTGTGTATATTAGTGTTCTCTCAAAGAGCGAAGTATATCTGGAAAAGTAGACTTGTCCTCACTTAGTGATATTATAGCAGGTACGGCAATGATTTTTTTCAAAGTTTACATTCAGGCATAAGTTACAACAGGGTAGTATTAGGAATCAATCTTTACCTCAGGGTAAAATGGTAACAGCCTTGTATGCCTGAAATATTCGGGTTTTCCCGGTCCTGTTAGGTTATCTCCGTCTTTTTGACGTCATTACCGCTGCATAAAACCACACCAGCCTATAGCAACAGTGTACATTTGTTGAAAATACAAGTGCTACATTATTAATCGATGTTAGAACGCATTTACAATAGTTTAGTGCATTGTCCAATTGGCGAAACTTCCAATGTGATTCTTTGACCGGATATTTTAAGTTAAAAGAGAAAACATGAAAATTAAAGGACGTTTGAAAATCTTAGTGCCCTATTGAATTGGGTTTCAACTTTCTTAGTAATTGTAGTGTTATATTTGTTTATATTGTATAAAAGTCAACATTTTCCATCATGTTAAATATGATCTTCAGATTTTTTAGTGAAATTTGAAATTTGAAAAAATACAATTATTTTCCGTTCAGTCAAACAAATGTTTCAAAGTAACTGTGTTGTATACCAGTGTAAGATCTTTTATCTTTCCGTTAAAAATAAAATCAACGAAAAATTGTATTTAAACTTTCCTTGTGATTTCTTTCGGTTCACGTCACGTCTTAATCTGTTTATTGAAGCCATTCGGAGATCGCTGTCCTTGTTTCAAATTGACGTCACACTTATGATTGATCCCCGATTACTTTAACAGCTTGAATGAACGACCTGGACAGTTTCCATCTGAAAACGTGATGTTTCTGGCTGTTGTTGCTACTAAAAAGCTTATCGGATGGTAAACCTAAGGGCCATACAACAGAAATATAGATAAACTAGCATATAGTAAATACTGTATTTAATACTGTATACAGCTGTTATGTGATTATTTTATGAAATTCTGTTCTCCAATAGTTGATAACTTTCCTGTAACTTTGATACTCCCAGTCGTTTTGACTTTGCGGATGTATCTTAATTAGAAAACAGCAAAACAAATCACTGCCGCCAAATAACAACTTATACTTTACCTATTTTTATACAACACATTCCATTATTTTTCCTATATTAATGCTGTGACTTGACTTTGTCAGGTTTTGCTGTTTGATTTGCATGCCTTGTTGTTGTTGTCTTTGCTGTATTTTGATAAAGTATTTTTGGAAGTCTTCTTTTGCTTTTGTGCAAGGCTGTCCTATTAATAGATTAATTTATACGTAAAAAGCATAACTAGTTTGCTTGTGTTATGGTTAGTGCCAAAATGTATACTTATGTGTCCGGAGTTGACTACATTTGTAACTATAAAGTAGTCTGAAGGCAACGCAGAGGAACATAGTAAATACATGCATAGACACGTACATGTAGAAAATTTATGTTTCTAACATACATTAACATGAACAACATAAACAAAGCTTCAACGACAGGGCCGGGGAGTCCTATCTCCAGTCCGCTTACAAAGTTTACACTTTCATCACGTGTATATAGACAAAAATGACTCAAATAGTTCCATGAGAAAATGGTAGAAATCAGGACGTGATCATGTCTAAATACGTACACAAAATAACAGATATCCTGTTTTGTACATGCGATCTTACAGACTTCACACTCAAATTTCAAAGATATATATATATATGTTTTGTTAGTGTCTCATATACATGTATATATGTAAAGTGTGTCGTGTCAGTGAAAAGAGTTATGACATAGCTTACTTTCAAACTGACAACGTGAAGGCAAGTCTATAGTAACAGAGTTAAACAATGGGTGCATGTGTACTTACCAAATATTGAGATTTTCCCTTTATGTTTCAATTCTGATGTTTTCATTTACTGGTGTCTGTTTCATTTTACAAATGTAAAACCATTAGAGAAGTTCGTTAAGTGCGTCGTTTAAGAAAATAGTGTACAGGTTTTTCGTGTAAATGCTTGAGTGCATGATAAGGAATGGATGATCATATACATTGTACTTATAGAAATTCTAACAATATTTGTGTTCTACAAAGTCGGTTTACACAAAATAAAAAATATATATATCTTAAACATGTGTTCTGGTTTTCGATTTCCAAATCAATACTCGGTATATGAATGCAGTAAAATTAACTTTGTGTCCAAAATCAATTCGGAATCCAGGATGAATACCGCACCTAAATTCCAGAGGAAAAGTTGCTACATTTCCTCGTCATAATGCCATTATATACTGACATTCTCCCTCCACCACTGTAGGTTTCCTCACTCATGACTCATCGGATAATTCTGTCAGGACTTGCTAACATTTTTGGCTACCCGCTAGTGGGTAACACCCTGTACGTGATTTCATTGGTCAATCTTTGATGTATGACGTCACGTAACAATTATTTGCGACGTCATTTTCCAATGTGATGTCATGCTTTATGACAATGGTCTCTCCTGTCGGAAACACAAATGATGTATTTTCCAACGAAAGAAAGTGTTGTTTTTAGCTCACCTGCCCGAAGGGCAAGTGAGTTTATGTCATGGTGCGGCGTCCGTCGTCGTCCGTCAACTTTTCCTTTAAACGACTTCTCCTGGAGAAAGTACAGGCATAGAGCCATGATAGTTGACTGAAAGCTTCATTGATAGGAGTCTGACATAGTTTGAGAATGAAAATGACCTTGACCTACTTTCAATGTCACAGGGGTCAAATGTGTCAAACACTTCAAACGACTTCTTCTGAAGAACTGAAAGGTATAGATTCTTCAAATTTTACTGGTGGCTTCCTTGGATAGAGCCCAACAAAGTTTGAGGATAAAAATGACATTGACCTGATTAAAGGTCACAGGGGTTAAATGTGTCAAACTCTTGAAACGACTTCTTCTGAAGAACTGAAAGGTATAGAATCTTCATATTTGGCTGGTGGCTTCCTGGGATAGAGCCCAACAAAGTTTGAGAAGAAAAATGACATTGATCTACATTCAAGGTCACAGGGGTCAAATGTGTCAAACACTTCAAACGACTTCTTCTGAACAACTAACAGGTATAGAATCTTCATATTTGGCTGATGGCTTCCTGTTATAGAGCCCGACAAAGTTTGCGAATTAATATGACCTTTATTTACTTTCAATGTCACAGAGGTCAAATATGTCAAACTCTTTAAACGACTTCTTCTGAAGAACTGAAAGGAATAGAATCTTCAAATTTGGCTGGTGTCTTCCTGGGATAGAGCCCAACAAAGTTTGAGAATGAAAATGACTTTGACCTACTTTCAAGGTCACAGGGGTCAATTATTTCAAACGCTTCAAACGACTTCTGAAGAACTAAAAGGTATATAATCTTTATATTTGACTGGTGGCTTCCTATGATAGAGCACGACAAAGTTTGAGAATGAAAATGACCTTGACCTATTTTCATGGTCACAGGTGTCAAATGTGTCAAACACTTCAAACGACATCTTTTGAATAACCAAAAGGTATAGCATCTTTATATTTGACTGGTGGCTTTCTATGATAGAGCCCGACAAAGTTTGAGAATGATCACAGGTGTCAAATGTGTCGAACTCTTCAAACGACTTTTTCGGAATAATCGAAAGGCATATACTTATAATATTTGGCTGGTGGCTTTCTGGAATAGAGCCATCCAAAGTCTACCTCTGGGCTTCTTGTTTCTGATAGACTACGAACGAAGTTCATTCCTTGGTAGACTGTGCATTTTATTCTGATTAACGACATTTAAGTTGTGAGGTGTATATTTACATTTAATCTGACAGATGTAATTGTTATACAGGTAAACGAATAATGATTTTTATCACCAACACCAGAAAAACATAACGGGCATATTTTCTCATACCGTTGTATCCCAGACCATCGGCTAGTTTTAATAGGTAATGTGTATTAGATGTTCTGAATTAACACACAGTTATTCTGTTTTTGACATTTAAGTTTCACTTAATATGGTCTGAAATTCAATTTGAGATTTGAGTATTGCGTACGTTTGATCACGTAATGAATTTAAGAATACACAGGTCAATAAAGACCTATTTTAAAAGGCATTCGATACTTCATTGAGATGGACTGAAAACATAAACGGAGAGAAATCTTTACCCTTGACCCTGCTTTACCCAATGTTACAGAAACAGATGTACTATTAATGTTTGTAACCTTCGATTTTGTATTCGTGTAAATGTTATATATGACTTGAAATTGTTTCCTGTAATGTTACTTTTTATAACATTTGCCCATAAACCTTTCTTCACGGCAGTGTTATATGCTTTATTATCATCTTTGTTTCCTCCAAATGAAGATTACAATATATTTCATATCAATAAAGACAAAATAATACAATAGCAAAATCAAAACAATGGATAATTACATACATGTCACAAAAGATGTATATATGATATCTATTGGACATATGGTAAAGTATGCGTACATTGTACTATTAAATTCACCCTAATGGTTATATGAGCATGTGAATCAATAAAAAATATATATTTTGTAGTAACTAATTAAACATATCGATACATGTATACAGAGTTACTTTCAAATCAGCTGCTGTAAATTGTTAACATTTTATAGACATTTGCCACAGAAGTAATTCTAAATTCTTCCAATTCATTATTTTCTAATCTGAAGTTAACTTTGCCTCTAAGCAGATGATACATAATTTCATCTTCAGATAATGAATTTATATAATGACTAAATGTCAGGTCGTGTATATTGGCTAAGTACTCGTAAAATCACAACTTAATACAACATATTCTGTACGATCTTGGTAGAGCACTACACCACACTTGTGACAAAGTTTTGTAGTTCTACCATTTCTAATTGTTAGCTCACCTGGTCCGAAGTACCAATGTGAGCTTATGCCATACCGTGGCGTTCGTCGTCCGTCCGTCGTCTGTACGTCAACAATTGCTTTAAACGACTTCTTCTTCTTAACCACTGATTGGAATTTAAATAAAAGGGGGCAATTAGGCTATATTGCTTTAAGCAACTTCTTCTCTTGACCTAAGTGATGGATATCAACCATATTTGACTGCCATCATTCCTAGGTAGTGGGGATTCAAAACTATACAAATTGTGGGGCTGACCCCTCAGGGCGCTGAGTTGCGGTGCCAAAAGGGGGCAATAAGGCTATATTGCTTTAAGCGACTTCTTCTCTGGAACAAAGTAATGGATATCAACCATATTGGACTGGAAGTATCCCTAGGTAGTCAGGATTCAAAATTGTACAAATGGTGGGGCTGACCCCCCAGAAAGCTGAGGGGCGGGACCAAAAGGGCAATTTGGCTGTATTGCTACAAACAACTTCTTCTGTAGAACTATGCACTGGATATCAATCATATTTGATCAAAAGCATTCATGGGAGGCAGGGATTACAAATTGTACAAATGGTGTGACTTATCCCCCAGGGGGCTGAGGGGTGGGGCCAAATAGGGTTATTTGGCTATATTGCTTTCAGCGATTTCTCCTCTGGAACTGAATGATGGATATCAACCATATTTGACTGGAAGCATCCCTAGGTGCTTGGGATTCCAATTGTACAAATGTTGGGGCTGACACCCCAGGGGGCAGAGGGGCGGGGCTAAAAGGGGACAATTTGGCTATATTGCTACAAACGACTTATTCTGTAGAACTATCCACTGGATATCAATCATATTTGATCAAAAGCATTCGTGGGAGGCAGGGATTCAAAATTGTACACTGGCGGGGATGATAGGTGATGGGGATTTAAAATTGTACAAATAGTAGGGCTGATGGGCGGGGCCAAAAAGGGGCAATTTGGCTATAATGCTTTAAGTGACTTCTTCTCTGGATATAAGAGATGGATATCAACCATATTTAACTGGAAATTTTGGGGCTGAACCCCCGGGCTTAGGACTAGGGCCAAAAAAGGTGTATTACTTGGAAATGGTTGAGATCCCCACTGTAACGTTGGACGACCGGTCGGTAGCTGAAAGAATACAGAACGATTTGTTATACAATATCTACAAGTTTATTTACAATAATTATTGAAGAAAACCCCCGTAAGTATGTACTCACACTCACAAACACACATTCATACATTCAACACTAAAGGTCATTACTCCGGTTGGTGGAGTCACAGTTGCCGCTTGTATACCAATAGTTCCACTGTCCATGTGGGCAATACCCAATACAATATGGAAAGGATCCGATGGACTAAACAAGTCTCACAAACTTGTGTTCCGCTTCACCATATAATCCACGTCCGCTAATCATGGATATATACCCCACCGCAGAAGGGTTTAGCACCGATGTGCTGAGAACGGTCTAGCACCGATGTGCTATAATGCAGGCCTCCGGTTCCGCAGATGACCTGAGGACTGCTCCCTCACTGACGCATGACGTCAGTACAACTATGAGTTGTCTGCCCTTGTAAAACTGACCCACTGTGTGTAGCACCAGTTGTCTGCCCTTGTGGAACTGACCCAATGTGTGTCGCGCCAGTTGTCTCGTTCACATTCCTCTCACCTACCAACCCGTTCATGGAAATCTATACTTAATGAACATACATACTAACACTATTGCCCATACACACAAGACAGTAAAACCTAGTTATAATATCACCGTAAATAGTACATGTAAATATACATTGACTCACTACATAGATATATCAATGTATGGACGTTAGAACCAAGCATGTGCATGTATTTGATTAACACTTATTATGCGGACTAATTATAATATATCCAACTAGATAAATTATAATAAGGAATCCTAACAACAATAATATCGGATATCAACACTAATGGATAGATCCCGTAATCTTACAGAAAGTGCCTCACGCTTACCTGTACAATCACTAATGCGTACAGATACAGATACAGATACAGAAGCTTTATTTTACGTCGAATATTATAAACATACAACATAAGCTACGAAGAGCTTGTATTTCGACAAACACATGTAAAGAACAAAAAATACATAACAAGAAATTTTTACAAAATACACATACATATTGAAACGTTAAACAGTAAAAATATGAAGCATATAAAGCATGTACAGCACATTTGCAGAAAAATAAACATATGACAAAAGCATCAAATTTGTAAATTACAAAGCTGACAAAAAGCACAGAGCCATATGTAAAGCTGTACGTTACATTTTAAACAAATACACTTCAGCCAGAACAGGACACATACAAAGCAGGGAAAATAGGTAGCCAGAAACGCTAACTAACACATAAAGTGCATCCGCACTCGGGCCCGTCCCACCTACGGATCAGTCTGCCGAACTCGGAGTAGTTCTCCACTTTACGCAATTCGTTCGGCAGGCTGTTCCATATGTGGGCGCCCTCATAGCGGAAGGACCTCTTTCCATACCTGGTGGTGTTGACCCTTGGAAGCTGTGCTGTATTTTCATTCCTAAATGAATAAGATGAACATTTTATATTTATTATTTCTTGTAGGTAGTCAGGAGATAACTTATTAACAATTTTAAAAACTTCGCAAGCAATGAGTTTCATGCGAGTAATATGTAAATAATATGAGTCTGTGCTCGATAAAATATCCTTGTAATCTGAGATATAATCATTTAGTACAAAACGTAGTCCTCTCTCCTGGATTTTTTCCATCTTGTTTGTGCTAGATTTATTACAAAAGTGCCAAATAACAGGACAAAAATTAAAGTTTGACATTACAAAGGATTTGAGAATTAACATTTTTACATTTTTTGGTAAAGAGTTTCCAATTCGCTTGAGTACCGCCACCTGTTTTGAGGCTTTTCTACATAGCTCTGAGATGTGTTCGTTAAAATTTAATTTTGAATCTATATTTACTCCAAGTAGCTTTACATTTTCTTCACAGTCAATTTTTACTCCTTCAATTTCAAAATTTGTTAAATCATTTTGATTTTTTCCAAAATAAATTGCCTGAAACATATCTGGGTTGGCTTGCATTCCGTTAGATTTAAACCAATCGATCAGGACTTTAGCCTCTCTTTCAAGGACCTTCTTTTACGCATCAACATTCTTGTTTTCATAACTTAAAGTGTTATCATCAGCATAATTGTACAATACAGAGTCCTTAATCTTATAAAATATGTCATTAATAAATATATTAAAAACCAGTGGTCCCAGTATGGAGCCCTGGGGTACCCCCTTCTTCAGTAGTCTCCATTCACTGGTGTTGGGCCCCAGCTTCACCCTCTGGCTCCTGTTCCCCAGGTAGCTCTGGAGGAGGCGCACAGCCCCCTCCCCTACTCCATATGCAGAGAGTTTCCTGAGGAACAGGTCATGCGGAAGACAGTCGAAGGCCTTGGAAAGGTCCATTAGTATAGCACCAACATGGTGGTGGTCATCCAAGGCCCTCTTCCAGTCCTCCAGCATGCGCAGCAGGGTGGTCTGGCACCCATAACCCCTCCTGTAGGCACTAAGAAACGGGTGAAAAATATCGTTAAAAAATGTGGACATTTGATCATGTATGATCCTTTCGAAAACTTTCGAAATGCTTGGAAGAATACTCACAGGCCTATAATTTGACTTTTCTAGTGGGTCTTTTTTCTTATAAATAGGAATGACCTGTGCTAATTTTAGATTTTCCGGAAAAATGCATTGATTAAAAGAAAAATTTATCATATTTGCAAAAGCAATACTGATTGGATCAATGCATGTTTTTAAATTTTTTGCTGATAAACCGTCTACTCCAGTGGCTTTTTTCTTTTGCATTTTTGATAAGACTTTTTGCACTGTCTTACTGCAAACTGGAGTAAATGAAAAATGTTCCTGGATATTTATTTTGACTTTTATGTCTTCCACACTTGAGTGTGTTTCCAGGTCACAGCCATTTAAATTTTTACCAATGTCATCTGCGACACTTGCGAAAAAGTCGTTAAAAAGTTTACTCACACATATTTGGTCAGATATGCGTAACACCTGCGTACGTGCATTAAAGTATTTAAACTAACATTTCGATCTCTTATACAAGTATAACATATGTATACTAAATCATAGATATATATACATATTCATAATATGGATACTTAGTTAATATAGTAGGGTACTAACATGCATATCCCTATATACAATACATGTAAACAATAATCCGCATGAACGAACCGCACCTACATATTAACGATACACAGTACATGCACATGAATAAGCTTATTGCGGTCATTCACCAGTAACTTATGCAACATATATAGCGTAGAATTAGCAACAAAATCACTATATTACTGACTTACCACATCTCAGGTGTTATGTGTCTGAAGTCCGGGTGGTTTTTTATGGCACGTTGACATACACGTCCATCTTGGACAGATCGGCTCTCGTGTAGTATTTTACCACTCTCGGACGCTCTCGCAAACGCATACTCACCTCGAAGCGGGAATATTTAAAAACCGAGATTCATGCAAATAAGTATAAAACAATATACATTATCAATACTAACATAAATATTTATATACAACATCTGTACCAATATGCGATCGTGACACCCACCGTATAACTATATATACCATTGAGTATAAAGAGAAGAATGCACAGTTGCTTCCAGGATGGCCCCACCCATGGAGACATAGTCCCTGGGTCATAACTTTGAAACAATTAAGATCCCCTCCCCAAAACTATATATACAAATGCTGGGCATAAAGAGACGAATGCAGTCATGATATTAGAATAGACCCTGGTGTCTGACCGAACCCCTAGGGACTTAGTTTCTTAGTCACTGTTTGGAAACAGTTGAGATCCCCACCCTATAACCATATATACCATTGCTGAGTATAAAGAAATGAATGCACATATGCTTCCAGGATGGCCTTAGGGTCTGCCCCACCCTTGGAGACTTAACCCCTGGGTGATGACTTCGAAATGGTTAAGATCCTCACCCCAAAACTATATATACAATTGTTTGGCATAAAGAGACGAATGCTGTCATGATATTAGAATTGATCCCAGGGTCTGCCCCACCTTTGCAGACTTAACCCTTGGGTCATAACTTTTAAACGGTTGAGATCCCCAACCCAAAACTATAAATACAAATGCTGGGCAAAAAGAAACGAATGAAGTCATGATATTAGAATTGATCATGCGGTCTGGCCACAACCTATGGACCTAGTTTCTGAGTCACAGCTTGGAAACAATTGAGATCCCCAACCTATAACCATACATAAAATAGCTGGGCATGAAAAATCTAATACAGATATGCTACAAGGATTGGCCTTGGGGTTTAGCACATTCTCTTGGATCTCATTTTGAGAATATTTTGCTATGATTGCTTAGATATCCAGGTGAGCGATATAGGCCCTCTGGGCCTCTTGTTACAGTAAGATTCATTATAAAATTTATCTTAACTTTGTATAAAGTGTTGTTTTTTATAACAACCATAGACAGTGCGGTTGTAACTTATAAAATAAAATAAAGAAATAAAGAAATATACAACATTTGATATAGCGCCCTATCTAGCAAACATAAACCACTCTAAAGCGCTTTACAGTACATAGATATACAATTTCATACAGTCAATACAATTAGCATATATATATATTAATACAATATTGAGGATTGATGAAAAGTCATATTTTGTCGATGATTTGAAAGAATGTTTGAGAAAGTTCAAGCGAAATACCAGTTTAAATATTTACTAATGACTTCTTATCCGTGTCACATGGTTTAAGCGAGACACAAAATGGTTCGTTTGAACCAAGAATTTATGATTGAGCATGAGCCATGAATATTAGCCCTGTACTCAATTACACTCACATAGAATATGGATGTTTCCTGCCTTTCCATGATACAATGATACAAAGGACACAGTGAAAGTTATTTATTCGTCAACGTTACATAGATAAGAATAAGTGGTGAAGATACTTTATTCTAAATTTAACCACTGCAGTTTTGTATTCATAAGGGTAATTTAAAAAAAAATCAATGTGTTTTTATTGTTTTTGAACAAGGTACTCCATTAATTTTGTCCAGCTACCATTATTTTATCTATGGACGTGCACTCTCCCTTTCTTGGTAACAACTTCCGTACTATACATACTTTCGGTATTTACATGCTTGCTCCGAATATCACTTCCTAGATGTCGACTGCTGACGGACAAATGTATAACAAAGGGGTTTCAAAGATGCAGGTTCATGGAGACTGTGGACAAGTGTTATGGTCGCAATCATAATCTTGCAGAAAAGTCTGCTATTTCTTTATGTGATATGAAGGTTGATATTTCACTACCCCAGTTCTCGATGTGAGGATGGTCGTCATGAAGTCTGAACTTTATAAACTATAAAAGATGGAAGCAGATCGACGCGCTCGTTCATGTGTTCAGGATATAAGCAGGTCGAGACTAGGCTTTATATTTCGGCAACGTCTTATTATCAATCGAATCTTCTTAATAAAAATATTGCCGGCGCAACGGCCGGTCAAAACTACAGTTCCCGAGAAATGACGTTAGAGCTGCCAATGGGGAGGTCATTGGCAATTGGAAAGTGAACGTAGCGTTTTAATGCAATCATCACTGATTTTACGACAGGAGGAATTATATTGGCTACACTTATTATATGAACGTTATTATCATAGAAAATAAATTAAATGTCCAGTGAGGTAATAGCGTTCAATTAGACTAACAACATCAACTAATGGATGTCTTTGCCTGCTTTTCATGTTCATTTCGTTTAAACCAACACAGTTAATCCTTGTGGTGAGAAAGGCTTTATTGTAGCTGTTTAAGAGCCACTAGCAGCGGGAAAGGTTTTGTTGCACCTTTCGCGGGGAGAGCAAAAGTGAGTGTGCTATATTTGGGGCGAATATTTGCATATGCAGCAGATACAGTAATGGTCATACTACGTAAGACTACTGGATGAGACTGAGGTGTTGTACAAAAGTACGGCAATTGGTCATTTTGAGTTTGTTATAGAAGTAGTACAACATGCCATCAAGAAGCATATTTAGAGGAGATTCCAGATATCTTGAGAGACACATAACAAGGAAACAACCAGTAAACTGAACGAGACGGGGACACAGGCAGTTAACTGTACCCTTGGGCAGAATGTAGGTTAAGACGGCGTTGTAAAACAAACAGCATTACCACGTGAAACAAAATACCAATTAAACAACTTCCGCGGCGCCTGCCAACGCATTTTTATCTTTAAGAAGCTGATAAGCATTTATAAAATATTCACTAAGCTATCATCCAGCCAGTAGACATCGGATGGTAGCCTGTACTTATGCGATAACTATAGACAACTGAATAACGCGACAATTAAGGATGCGTATCCATTGTCGCGTGATTCTCTGTGCAATATATGTTTTCAACATTAACCTTTCGATCAGTTACTAGAAATAGCACGGGTCCGGTGGTTAAACCAAAGATGGCATTTGCTACAAGAAAGGGCATGTTTAAGTTCCAGGCATTACGTAACGGATTGAGTTACTTATTAAATTTACAGCATTATTTTACAGGAACGATTTTTTATATGGATTTTATAAAGATAATCAAAGTAAAAGGAAAACTAGAAATCACTTTCATAAACGAAATATGATGACCTATTGAAGAAACCAAACAGCTGTTTTCATCGAAGAAGCAAAATCTGAGTTATTAAATGTCTTTTATTGTGGTATCGTTTAAGGTTGCTCCACACAGTGTCCATTTTCGTGATGTACCTCTGGAAAAAGTACAGCTCGGACTCAATTATCTCGATCGAATAGTGCATGTACACCGTGTCGTCATTTCCGTATTGCATTTTCAATACCGTAGTGTAAATTGAAGTTACAACTGATATAAAATAGTACGTGCTTGACGATGATATGTCAACACCCAATGTCAAGATTTTACTTGGAAATGTGTATTCACCGCGGACTTAGATAGCAATCTAATCTAATTCCGTGGTAATCACACGTACTAATTTAGGAATAAAGTTTCCAATTGAAAGTAACTCATGGGAAGACACCGACATGAGTTCAGACGACTTCAAGAAGGTCATGTATGAAACACATGGAAAGGGGGTTTGATATGATTTGTGTACCGACCTCACATGTGCATATCACGTGCTTTCACGAGCTAACACGCTCGAGATCGTTCCGATTTTTGCTGTTGAGCGAGTCTCAGCGTGTCGATTAAATCGTTTTTAAAATGCAGTGCACTTACTCTGTGAAAATAGTGTTTTTTTAAATATCAAGATCTCTATGAAAATGTATGTGTGGGTGCACGTGAGACCGCATACCACGCGATAGCCTCTGGTCACATATGTACCTGACACGTAAATATACCGTGCGCTAGCTGGCAGTAGAATGATGTCTAATGTGTACATGACTAAGAGTAATTTGGTTTAAAAAAAAACACCAATAAATTGCAATTTTGGCATCATAATTGGATGCTGTGTACAGCATTCATAGCGGTCCTCGCCAAGCCTGGGCAAATCAAAACAAAACAACAGACTTTTTTTTCTTCCGCGGAAGATCTTTGAATGCTGTGTTGATTATTTCAGGGTATGATTAATGCTATAAAATGATGAAATATATATGAAAACGATCAATAAATCGAAAATAAGAAAAATGTTAAAATTTTACGAAAAGGCGAGTTTTTTCAGTGAGCATCACGAACTATATCAATCTCAAATTACTACGCTTTTTGGACCGAATAATTTCTTCACAAAAAAACCCCAACAACACTTTATCTCTTTCCGCGAAAGATATTAAGATAATGTGTTCATTATTTCATGATATGATCAATGCTATAATATGGTAAAATATATCTGTATAGGACCAAAAAAAAACCCAAAGAAAATATGTAAAGATCTTTAACAGTGGTGTTTTTAATCGGTGAAAGTTCCGAACTATATTTGGTTCAAATTACTACCTCTCGTATTCCAATACTCTAAAGTGTGTGTTAGAGTTTTCTCCCCTTGCATCATTGCGTAGTTTCATGCTCGCGACTGTTTGATAACTGTCCTTGATAAAGTAGGCTTCGTGTTTTCTTTGTTTCAATGGAAATTCTCCAAGTGAAAGTGAATGTTGACTTATACTAAAATAGCCGTCAGCAGCTGTGCCTAACGAGTTTATAGATAGCTTCCCAATGCGACAGCAGCTGTGCCTAACGAGTTTGTAGATAGCTTCCCATTGCGACAGCAGCTGTGTTTAACGAGTTTGTAGATGGCTTCCCAAACAGTCTCTAGATAATGGCCCGATTAGTATAATACAAGTGCTTCGTGAATATAGCATATTGAACATCAAAAATTAAAATCGTATATACATTTTATTCACATTAACCGGAAACTGAATAATTATATAGGTCTTTAACCTTCGTTACAATATCGGGAGAAGGAGAGATACACAAGGGACTTGCATAAGTCCGTGATTACACGCACTGGAAATAATACCATCTCGTTTTAATTTTTTGTATAATTAATCACGATAATAACAAATTGTAATAATAATATCATACTTATTTATTTATATTATTTATATAACATTTATTTATTTATCTTTTTATT